GGCGGTTTGAATATGAATGGCCTTCTCGGCAATTTTAATATGAATGGCCTTCTCGGCAACTTGAATATGAATGGCCCTCTCAGCAATTTGAATATGAATTTGACTATGAACGTCGTCTTTCATCCATATTTGATATGATGATAGGTACTTTTTGATCATAACATAATTTCCATCGGTATCTCACAACTAATTGATATTTGCTGGATATGTTCTCCTGAACTGGTTGGTTGGTAAACATAGTTCATTTGATGATCTCATTATACCCTGCATCCACAAAAACATGTTAGTTTTGGAACACTGATCTGTGTTGAAATCGCCTTGCTCCTGGTCTCGTTATCTCTGCAACTTTGTCTGGTAGGTCCAATGCATTACAGTAGACAAAAGACAAGATCATATTAAAACATTTGCTAGGTATGAAGTTTTTGAAAAGTAGTTTTAAAGAAAATCTCTGCCAATTAATTGTCACGACATGCACGACACGAACAAAACCCTTTGTCTCAGATTGTGATATGACAGGTAGCTTGCTGGCAACTTAAAACCCTTTAAGAACACGTCAATTTGAGGCAATTAAAGTTGACTTCGAAGGTCCGAGTATCCTTGATGGAATTTTTGAGGTCCTTCTCAAAAATTCTGTCCCAGTTAGATGTTTCGAAAACAAATCTGATGATGATCACGGGAGTCTTGCATTTGAGATCTCCTCAAAATTATCCCTAGTTGCATATTTCAATATGATATTGACTCTTGTTTGTAGGAAATGACACTTCTTGTAGAATTTTTGAGGTTTTCTCAAAAATTCGTCCCAGTTTCCATTGTGAGGGGAAATTGAAATCTTATTGGGAATATAACCGAACCCTTGTGGCGCCTACGTATCCTGTTGAGACAGGAATTAGGTCAAACGTAGTTCCCATCTCGAGAAGTGACAAAAAAGAAAATTTTATAAGGAAATGACCGAGGCCGACATAGGCCGCCTACGTATCTCATTCTCGAGAATTCAGGTCGAACGTAGTTCAAGTACTAAGAAAACATTACGAATTGATAAATGGGTGACCGAGGCCGACATAGGCCGCCTACGTATCTCATTTTGAGAATTCAGGTCGCACGTAGTTCATTGCAAGAGGGATAAAATCTAAAACGACGCGATTACAAGCAAATAGAACGATTACAAGGAAATTACAAGAAAATACAAATTGAAGGTTTCACACATAGTATCTCTTAACAGCATCTGAATTGATAGCTTTGCGCCACACCTGACCGTCCATCTCCGCTAGAACCAAGGCTCCTCTTGATAGTACTTTGTGGACAACATACGGTCCTTGCCAGTTAGGTGCAAACTTTCCTTTGTATTCGTCTTGATGAGGGAAAATGCGTTTCAACACCAATTGGCCTACCTCAAATGTTCGAACTCTTACTTTCTTATTGAAAGCACGAGTCATTCTCTGTTGATACAGCTGGCCATGACAAACGGCACTCATTCTTTTCTCATCAATCAATGCCAATTGCTCATATCGGTCACGAATCCATTCGGCATCGCTCAATCCAGCTTCCTGAATAATCCTTAAAGATGGTATCTCAACTTCAGCTGGTATCACTGCTTCTGTTCCGTATACCAATAGGTAAGGAGTTGCTCCAGTTGAGGTTCGGATTGTGGTGCGGTAGCCTAGCAAAGCATAAGGCAAATTTTCATGCCAACATTTGTAGTTGTCAATCATCTTCTCAGTATCCTCTTGATATTCTTATTAGCAGCTTCCACAGCTCCATTCATCTGAGGACGATATGCAGTTGAATTACGGTGGGTAATTTTGAATTGTTCACATATCTCTTTCATCAAGTGACTATTCAGATTTGCTCCATTGTCTGTGATGATAGACTCTGGAACTCCAAAACGACATATCAAATTGTTGCGAACAAAATCGGCCACAACTTTTTTGTCACAGCTTTGTAGGAAGCAGCTTCGACCCACTTTGTGAAGTAATCAATGGCGACCAAAATGAACCTATGACCATTGAGGCGCAGGCTCAATAGGTCCAATAACATCCATGCCCCAAGCTGTAAATGGCCAAGGGGAACTCATCGCATTGAGCTCGTGGGGTGGTACTTTGATCAGATCTCCGTGTACCTGGCATTTATGACATTTTTGGACAAATCGACCACAATCATTTTCCATAGTCATCCAGAAGTATCCCGCCCTTAAGATTTTCTTTGCTAATGTAAACCCATTCATGTGCGTCCCACACACTCCAGCGTGCACTTCTTCAAGCAATTTTGTGGCTTCTGCAGCATCCACACATCTCAGTAATCCCAGATCGGGTGTCCTCTTATAAAGAACTCTCCATTCAAGAAGAAGTTGTTTGCCATTCTTCGGATTGTTTTCTTTTGAATACTTGTTGCTTTTTCCGGATATTCGCCAGCTTCTAAGTACTTTTTCACATCGATATACCATGGATTCCCATCCCATTCTGCTTCCACATGTGAACAATGTGCTGGTTGTTCTTTTAAACTATCTCAATGGATCGATATAACTTTTTTGGATGTTGTATCATGGACGATATGGTTGCAAGGGCGTCAGCAAGCTCGTTCTGTATTCTCGGTGTGTGTCTGAACTCGGTCTTCCTAAATCTTTTGCATAATCTTGTACCAATTGTACGTATGGTAAGATTTTAGGATTCTTCACGCCCATTCTCCTTGAACTTGATGAATCAACAAGTCTGAATCACCAATTATCAGTAATTTTGAACATTCATGTCAAGAGCCATTCTAATGCCAAGAATACATGCTTCATACTCAGCCATGTTATTAGTGCATCGGAATCTAAGCTTTGCTGTTGCTGGATAATGTTGCCCTGATTCAGATATCAACACTGCTCCAATTCCTGATCCTATAGAGTTTACTGCTCCATCAAAAAACATTCTCCACCCAGGATATGATTCTGATATGTCTTCCCCTACAAACAATACTTCTTCATCAGGGAAATATGTTCTAAGTGGTTCATATCCTTCATCTACTGGGTTTTTCAGCAAGGTGATCTGCCAAAGCTTGTCCCTTGATTGCTTTCTGAGTCATGTACACAATATCGAACTCACTCAACAACATTTGCCACTTTGCTAGCTTTTCCTGTGGGCATCGCTTTCTGAAATATGTACTTAAGCGGGTCCATCCTCGAAATGAGATGTGTTGTATAAGCCGACAAATAATGTCTCAATTTCTGAGCAACCCAAGTCAAAGCACAACAAGTTCTCTCTAAAAGGGGTGTAACGGGCCTCATAGGATGTGAACTTCTTGCTCAAATAGTATATAGCTCTCTCCTTTCTTCCGGTCTCATCATGTTGTCCCAACACACACCCGAATGCATTGTCTGAGACGGATAAATACAATAGCAAAGGACTACCTGCACGTGGTGGCACCAACACTGGTGGATTCGAAAGGTAACTCTTGATGGTGTCAAAAGCCTTCTGACATTCTTCGGTCCATTTGGTTGGCGCATCTTTTCGTAGTAACTTGAATATGGGTTCACATATCACCGTCGATTGAGCTATGAATCGACTAATGTAATTTAGTCTCCCCAGAAAACTCATTACTTCCTTCTTAGTCTTTGGAGGAGGTAAGTCTTGAATTGCCTTGATTTTGGAAGGATCAAGCTCGATACCTCTTCTGCTAACTATGAATCCGAGTAACTTCCCTGCAGGTACTCCAAATGCACATTTGGCTGGGTTCAACTTCAAATCATACCTACGTAACCTGTTAAAGAACTTTTCCAAGTGTGTCAGGTGATCCGAACTCTCGCGGGATTTTATGATGACATCGTCCACATACACCTCAATTTCTTTGTGGATCATATCATGGAAAATGGTGGTCATTGCTCTCATGTAAGTGGCTCCAGCATTCTTGAGGCCGAACGGCATCACTCGATAATGGTAGACTCCCCAAGGTGTGATGAATGCTGTTTTTTCTGCATCTTCTTCATCCATTAGAATCTGGTGGTATCCCGCAAAGCAATCTACAAAAGATTGCAGCTCATGCTTAGCACAATTATCGATGAGTATGTGGATGTTTGGCAAGGGGAAATTATCTTTCGGACTTGCTTTGTTGAGATCCCGATAATCCACGCATATCCTGATTTTTCCATCTTTCTTCGCCACTGGAACAATGTTAGCCAGCCAAGTGGGATACTTGGTCACTTCAACGACTTTTGATTCGATCTGCTTCATGACCTCCTCTTTTATCCTTAAACTCAGATCGGGCTTGAACTTTCTAGTTTTCTGCTTTACTGGACAGTACTCTGAATTGATAGGCAGCTTGTGGGAAACAATATCAGTGCTTAACCCTGGCATATCATCATAAGACCAGGCAAACACATCGATGTATTGTCTGAGCAGCTTGACCAATTCTTCTCTTTCTGTTGCTGCCAAATGAACACTGACTCGGGTTTTTCTGATCGACCCGTCATCTCCCAAGTTTACTGTCTCTGTTTCATCCAGATTGGGCTTTTTATCGTCTTCAAGTTGCCTCAAGTCCTCGGTAAGGTGTTCAGGCATCATAGTTTCCTCATCATATTCTTCACACTCATCGTCATCGACCCTACTTGGTTCGCCGTGTTCGTGACATGTCATGACATTGGCAGGTTTAGATTCATTTTTACTGAAAAGAACAACAAATCAACCATGTTAGATGGAAAGAGTTTAAATGTATTTGTTGCAGAATAATTCGCAATGACAAGATAATCAATTTAAAATAAACGAGGCTTTCATTGGAATTTTAAAAAGGCGTACAAACTTTGGTCATGACTCATGAGTCATTTCCTTTTTAAACATTACGATGAAAAATAAAGTGACATAAATGGTGGTTTCGGGCCTCTCCGAACAACACCGATTTTCAAAAATAAACTTCAAATCTTGTCTTTGTCTACCAAGCCATTCGATGGATCATAAGTGGAGTGGCCATCCAATTCTGCAGCATCTCTCCAGGTCCGGCATCTCGGATGGTGGGTGTTGTTGTGCATTCTGTCGAGATCACAACACAATCTTCTTCATCAAACAATCTTCCCATCCCTTCCCCTAGACCATCAATCTCAGGCTCTAAAGTTTTAGCAACAAATGACTGGTACAATACTGGAATAGGCTTCGGTATATCACAGTCATGTTTCTTCCTTGTTTCTGCTTCAAACAATTCTTCCTCTGTTGGGGCATAACCGATACCGAATCGAAAATTTTGAAGTGGTATAGGAAGAGGTTCGGATATGCCATCCAAATTCTTGCCTAACCCACGCCCAGGTTCAAAACCACTTCTCAGCATAGTTACAGCTAACATTTTATACACTTGCGGCATTGGTACTTGCAGTGTCGTGTCTTCAAAAGCAGCATTCATTATCTCCACCATGTGAAAATCAGTACCCTGAGAAGTCTCTTCAATCACTGGAATGGAAAAACCAGGGTACCTACGGTCACTCCCTTCACCATGAATGACAATTTCATGGTCCTCCCAGATGAACTTCAAAAGCTGATGCAATGTGGATGGAACTGCTCCAACAGCATGGATCCATGGTCTTCCTAGCAATAAGTTGTAACTTGTAGATATACCCATCACCTGGAATTCAGTGACAAATTCTGCAGGCCCCATTTGGATACACAAGTCTACTTCCCCTATGGTCTCTCTTTGCGAACCATCAAACGCTCTTACATTCATGCGGCTTTGACGGATTTTTCCTATATCATATTTTAGCTGAGTCAGGGTTGATAATGGGCAGATATTGAGCCCTGACCCATTATCAATCAATACTCGAGCTACAAACTTGTCCCTGCATTTGACAGTGATATACAAGGCACGGTTGTGCATAACCCCTTCGAGTGGCAACTCTTCTTCTCGGAAAGAGATTTGATGACACCCAATGACATGACTTACCATGGCGGCCAGATTTTCACCACTTGTTCCTGTCGGCACGTATGCTTCATCAAGTACCTTCAACAGTGCTTTTCGATGGTACTCAGAACTCATTAATAGAGCCCAAACAGAAATTTGAGCGGGAGTCTTCTCCAAATGCTTGACAATGGAATACTCCTTAGGCTGCATTCTTCGCCAAAACTCTTCAGCCTCACCTTCTGTGATCGGCCTTTTCTGGTTCTCCTTTCTTCGTGTCTCCTGAGTTAGTTCTTCTGGAATGTAGCATCTTCCAGAGCGTGTCATCCCTTGTACGGCGGCCGCCTGGACAACAAACCTTTTTTCGGACTGCTCATTGCTTCCTTCCTTCACCAAAGCAAATGCCTGATGAGGTCAGTTATTACAACAAACTCTGGACGGGCCTTTATGGTCAATGAGGCCACTGTTGGTATAAGTGAGTTGACAGCTGCTTCACCGATAATCCCATTAGTAAGCCAATCTTCGTCTCTTTCAATCATGTTGATGGTAGCTACTCCATGATTCGGCAATGGGTTAAGGTTCACATTGGGGGCAGGGGCTTGGAGAGTGATGACCCTGTTATCGATCAAGTCTTGAATCTTATGTTTCAGATTGATACATCCTTCTGTATCATGTCCTGCCCCTCCAGAATGGTACGCACAACGTTGATCTGCTCGGAAGAACTTTGTTGTGGGATTAATTGCCCTTGCGTCTACTGGTTGGATCAATCCTGCCGCTCTTAGACGCTCAAAGAGTTGGGTACGTGTTTCTGCCAAAGGAGTGAAAACTCTGGGAGGCTTTCTTTCAAGGTTAGGACGGGGTAGATTGTTGGCATTTGGGTTGTTTTGTCCGGGATTTTGGTAGACTGGTGAATTGGCTTGGTGATTTGGTAGTGTATTTTGGTAGGTTAGTGGTTGATTTTGGTAGATGGGCGGTGGTGCTTGGTAGTTCTGTTGTGCATAGTAGATTGGGATTGGAGCTTGTGGAGATGGTGGGTAAATATTTGAGGTGGGGAATCGGTTGGAGTTTCCAATGGCAGAACCAGACCCAAAATACCTTTGCGGCCTTGGCCTCGGGCTAAAAGATACAGCAGACACGTCCTCTTTCTTTTTCCTAGCGAATCCTGTTGCCATGGATGGTGAGGATTTGTTGGCGGCCTGCAAGGCAGTGAGACTTGTAACCTTTCCAGACTTGAGGCCATCTTCTATTGCTTCTCCCATTCTGATCAGCTCCGAAAACTTTTGTCCCATCATAGGCAACATCCTTTCATAATACTCGGGCTCCTGAGCTCGAATAAAAGCAGAGGTTATTTCGTTTTCAGTCATCACAGGTTGTACCTTTGCAGCTTCTTTCCTCCAGCGGCACGCATATTCACGATAGTCCTCCGTGGACTTTTGCTTGATTTTTTCCAAATAATATCTGTCAGGGACAGCTTCGACATTAAACTGGAATCTCTCCAAGAAATCTTTGGCCAGAGCCCCCCATGTAGACCACTGACGGAGTTTTGAGATGTGAACCATTCTAACGCCTCCCCGCTGAGGCTTCGACTAAACAACCTCATAATCAATGCATCATTTTTCCCGATACCCACGAGTTTATCACAATAAGCTCGTAGGTGAGCCATAGGGTTCCCAATACCATTGAAGGTTTCAAATTTTGGAATTTTGTAACCTTCGGGTATTTCCAAGTCAGGGTGCATGCAAAGGTCCTCATACTCAAGTCCTGTTATCTTCCTCGAAGATTGGACACTTTTTACCGCCTCGGAGATGGCATCCTTCATGATATTCATTTTTGTTCACGTTTTTCTTCTCTCAACCTCCACTCCTTCTCCATTTCTTCATAGTGATCCAGCTCCGGTTGAACGGGAAAGCTAGGACATGGTTCAGGGATTGTATAGGCTGGTGGAGTTTGGAATGTTACGGAAGCGTATGCAGGCTGGCTAGGCAAAACACGTGGATTATCAGTAGCTGGGGGTGGGATTTGGTAGGTTGGTGTGAAGTTTTGGGAGTGATTAGTGTTAAGTGTTTGGTTCTGATTTGGTAATGGTGGTGGTGTTTGGTAGGAAGTGCTGGCGTAAGGAGCATTGGATACAGTTAAATCAATGGTATGAGGATTAGGGGTGGAAGTGATTGGTCCTGTGGTATGGGTAGGGAAATGGTTGGGTAATGGGGAACTTAGTGATGGAAAAGGAGGAGGCGGTCTTCTTGTTTCAAGGGGGGGTTCATTCGATGCAATGGCCAGTTTGGCCAGATCTTTGGTCTGTTGAAGTTCTTCCTGCATGTCTGCAATTCGTTGCATTAACTGAGAGATCAACTCACTCTGATCAGCGAGTTCAGCATTTCTAATAGTCACATCCACTATTCCTGTTTCTTCAGAAGTACCAGTCATTTTGCTCTTGCCTTTCTCCAGAGAATGATCAGGGAAGGATGGTATGATTGCTTTAGATCTTGTAAAGTAGGGATGGTCAGCCAGTTTGATTTCAACACAAATCGGTTTTTACCTGTAGAGAAGAACAACTCAAAAGACATATGTGTTAGTTTTTGTTTTTAACGAGATATGCAAATAAGATGACATAATAATAACCACACAAGTGTCATTTTGCTTCAAGCAGATTAATCCACGAAAATATTTTGGGTGAACGGGAGGACTCAAATGGAAAGAATTTTTTCTTGTAATTGAATTGGAAAGGTGGAAAGGTCGACTTGCATAGAATCTTGCTATTTTCTCCCACTCATATGCTTTTGTAGGTGAAAGTCTTCAGAATCATTCACTAATAAGGGAGAATAAAAATAAAAAAGATAAGGACCGAGTCTTAAGTAGGCTGCCTACGTATCCACCAAGGAAATCAGGCCCAACGTAGTTCGAATTATATAAGATAATCTAAATGTACCCTTCCCAAAATTGATAGAGAGACTAGGCTCGAAAAGAGCTTCCTACGTACCCCCTATGGGCTCAAGTCTCGCGTAGTTCTTGATTACAGTAAAAATTTAAAAACAACATGACAAACATAAGAAAAGTGTTACATAAACCTAAATCTACCCAAAGGCTTCTCTCCTTCTTCTTCAACTGTAGGGTGACGATCCGGTGCTCTCGTCATCTGAACCTACTTTTGTTTTACTTTTTCCCTTCATGGAGGGAGCCTTCCCAAAATTTTGTTCCTTAATGTCCCGTTCAATTTCAGGTATCCTTGCAAACGCTTGAGTGATATTAATTATCTCTTGATCAATTTTTGCAATCTTTCTTTTCACCGAGGTTGTTTCCATGTCAACCTTAATCATTCTCTCTCGTAGCATCCATTCAGTTTGGTCCAGTATCGCAAGTCTCTTTTTGGCTACAGCTATCCTCTCTCTAGTCTCGACAAATTTTCTGAACATTGACTCTTCAGTTTCTTCATCACTAACCAAAGCAACGGGTGGGATTGGTGCGTTGACACTTTTTCCAGACATTCTAGCAAGTCGACCTTCCTGTGATGGACGAATAAAACTGAGGAGATTTTTAGAGGAGATGGTTTATATATTTCTGAGAAACTTGGACAACACTTCAGAAGTAATTTGGACGGACTTTGTTGTTGTGAATTATGCTTAGAGTGCTCTAAGAAACAAAAGTGGATTAATTCTGCTTTAGACAAAGTGACACATCACAACACAAAACAATTATAAGCAACACAGAAACAGTTTATATCGCGCCCTAAACTTGTGACCTTTTTACGCCAAAGGTAGGCCTATCGAATTGAAGGATGTATGACGTCATTTGAAACATTCCATTGCCCCAAAACCCAAATTTATACAAGTTTTACGAATAAACTAAATGGGGATACATAATAGGGGAAATGGGATACAAAATATCAGTCTCGCGCAGGGGTACAATCCCAATCTATGCTTCCAAGGAAAGATCATATGTCCTTGATTTCTTGTCATCTTCGAATGTCCACACTCTTGGATGCTATGATAATTTGATCCTTCTTCGACTCGAACAAACGATTAAAACTCAACCCCAAGAGACAATGGTTTGCTAAATGGCGTATACATCCTTCAAATTCAAACACATAAGCATGATTGTCTTTTATTGACCAATGGGCCAAATAGACACAAGGTGGACTTCTAATGGGCCCAAACACGCCTTGGGTGTTGGGTCGACTTAGTTCAAATGCGCTAAATTTGGGATTTGGTTTGGCTCTACACTAGTCTTGACTAAGAGTGAGGTTTATTTGAAGTGGACTGGTGACCCAAGCGGACTACTTGGGCTGGGACAATTAACGACCGTTGACTATCCAGTAGCCAACTACATTCGTCAGGGTGTCCCGAGAACAATTTGGTTAACGAACGACTGCGGCCCGCATAATCGTCCTTTAAGTGAAAAGAAAGAAAAAAAAATGTCATTTGACGGAATAAATGATATGCATGCAATGACAGTTGATATCATAATTTAAGCAAATAAAGCACATTTGAGGTAAAACAATTCAACAAATATTAGCAAATAGTCAAAGAGAGTCAAGTCATTATGGTTAGAACCTAATTAAATCCCCAGCGGAAGTCGCCATTTCTGTTATGTCGTAATTTGACTGTATTTTAGAAAAATCACTTTTTGAAATGTTCTAAGTATAAAACAATTTGAGAAAAATACTTAGAAAGAGTCGCCACTTAATTTTTTTTTTGAAATTAAGAAAACTTATAATTTTCAAAGATTTAAACAGAAAAAATCATTTGAAAATACCAAAGGGGGTTCGGGGTTCAATTTACACTTCGAGAAGGGTTTAAGCATTCGAAGTGCCCGCTAACATGCGGTTGACCTGCGACTTGACTAAATATATTTGACTATTTTTTAGGAAAATAACGATTTAACATAAGAAGAATAACTTACAATTTTGGTTAACTTAAAACAAAGTTAAATAAATGACACATTTTATTTTATTTTATTTTTAGAGAAAAGGGATCCAAAATGAAATATTTTACTTGAGACGCAAGTGAATAGAATTTTATTAAAAAAACTAGATTAATTAGGACTTACTTGACTCATTTTCTAAAATAATAATTTGATCCAAATTGATTAATTTAAGCATGAAACCATTTTAATTAATTGAAGAATTAAAGTTTCGACTAACCTTTTCGAGGAAAATGACTAATTAGAAAGAGAACATTTTTTAGTTCATTTGAGAAAAATACTTTTAACTTAAAATCACTTTAAAATAAAAATGTGATCGAGTGAAGCGGCTTTAAAACATATATTTTTTAAGAACAAAGATTTAACTTAATTAAAATACAAAATTCGACCAATATTTAATTAATAAAATAAATGACCTTAACACAAAAAAAAAAAAATTCAAAGCAAATCAACACAAAGAAAGTAACTCGTCTTTTGGGGAATCTAATTAAGTTAATTAAAAAAATATAAAGTTAGAGTTAAACAACAAACGATAAATAATCACAATTAAATAATTAAAGAGTAAGGGAGAAATTGAATTTGGGCCCTTTTGGGCCAAATTCGCTGAAAATTTTGGCCTTTAAACCAATCCCGTTTTTGTATACACAGGCTGTATATTAGTGTATATCGGATGTATATAGCCCATTTATTCACTTTCCGAGACCTGTACGTCAACTCCAAAGACTTGTCCTTCGATTTTTCAAGATTGATTGACTCGGTAAATAACTTTTGGGCCTCCGTGGCCCGGTTCGAAATGAGAAGGAGATGGATTTGAGTCCAACTTGGACTCCAACGAGAGAGTGAGCATGTGTAAAAGAGAGAAAAGAAAAGAATAAGTAGACATCTTATACAAGTAATTATGTCTAAATAACAATATGCTTTGCTATTAGACAAGATAGACATCCATAATTCCCAACATATTAACAAACAAGTAAATGAGAACTCTTGATTTGAAATGGACACAAAACTTATCTTCATTTAAACTAAAGAAAAGACTAATGGAGAACTCTAAGGTATCATGTTATGATATACAAATAGAGATAACAGTTGCATATAATGGGAAAAAAAAAAAACTAAAGAAGATTGGTGAAAAAATTTCCAAAGAAGAGTATAGTTAAAACAATGTATCGACACAATTTAATGAGATAAAATTCATCCAGAACAATGGGACAGAATTAGAAGGCTGCTGTTGTCAAACCAAAAGTTTCAACGAAATAAGTATCTAAAGGAAACTATAGTCCAGATTATGAAAGAAAGCTAAAATCAAACCGAGTCATTTCATGCTCAAATTATAAGTCGAAAGCTTCCACAACATATAAAGAAATGAGGTTTACAAACTTTTGAATTCAACTTAGTCACATTTTAATTGAACTGAACGAAATTGATTAACATAGATACGGTATTCACTTAATAGCACGGGTTAAAGGAAAAGGGAGGATGAAAGATCATTGCCATATAGAACAGTTTAGAAAAAAAAAAAGCAATAGCACAAAGCCACTATTTTATGCACATTAATCACGACAAATAAAGTGTGGGGAGCAGCGAGGAAACTAGTTAAATAGAGGAAATGATACTTTTGTCAAATACGAAACAACAATCT